GGCGCCTGTGGCTCCTGCGCCTGCCTTTCGGGACGCCTCTCCCGAGGAACTGATCGCTGCCTTGGCAGCGCCGTTAAAAGTTCCTTCGGGTGCCTTCCTGCCAAGCCCTGGGAGAGCTTTTGCATCTTCGCAGCGAGACCTTGCCCTAGTGTTTCGTGTGTCTCCGCTGCCGCGTGGAACAATTTCTGCAAGTGGGGAAGCTTGTAGAAGGTGGGGCAGGTGATGATAACTTCAGTGTTGCTTGATCTGCCAAGTGAATGTATTGAAAAGGCTGAGCAGGATGTTTCTTTTAGGTAAAAATAGAAATAATTTAACATGCTTGGAAAGTAATATGTTTTAGGAGCCCATGCCCACGAGAAAGCTAAGGCTCTAATAGGATAGCTGTCCTTGGTTTGTTGTTGTTTTGGTTTTTTTACACAGTACCGTCATAATTCGAGACGTGCTTGTAAGGTTCATTAAGATTTGTCAGTTGGGAGGGGAAGTATAATAAGAGTTGAGGGGAAAACACGTTCAATTATGAATATGTGCCACTCGATGCAGAGCTGTGGTAGTTTGCTGTTTGAAATAGGTAGGAGAAGTGGCTCGCTGACTTTAAAAGCCAGAGCCCTTAAATGTCTGACGCTTAGTTGTTCTTACTCTGCTTCTTCCTTGGCTAGGAGTGGCTACTTTGCTGTTTTGACCTTTTTTTGTTTTGTTTTTTAATGGGAGACTCTGTAAAATTTTAGTACTAAGAAAGTGTATTTTTCCTGTCCTTACTAAACTTGTAGGTTTTCATCCAGATTAGTTCCCCCTCTGAAACTAATTTTTTACAGTTGACGACTTAATATTTCTACTTACAGAAGTCTTCTGAATAAATACGAGTAAATGTAAAGCGTGTGTAAATCTTGTCTGTGTCTGGAGGAGGTGGAGTGTAGGGGAAGTAAGTGCAGTAGAAAGAAACAGATGTCTTCAGATGTTTCTCTGTGTTCTTAAGAAATACCTCATTTTGTTTGTTTGTTTGTTTTGAAACTGTGAAATCCAAAGGATTGCAGTGAGTGTTAAAACTAACTTTTTTTTTTAAAGCTCTTTAATGAGAAAGCAGCCGTTAAACACCTCAGTGCTCTTCTTAGCACTAACTTTAAGGCTGCTCGTATGCTAGAAGTTAGCTTTAAGGAGGCAATGTAAATCTATCATAACTTTGTTGTTATGCACTATGTATGTTTTATACTGTGTGTTGTATGTACAGTCCAGGGCATTTAGATTTGATTCTTGAACTTCATTATAAGATGTTTTCAAGTTTATAAGATGTTTCAAACAAGAGCTGAGCTTGATAGGAGGAGCATGAACATGATATGCATGGTTTCATCAGTAAGGCAGATGTAACATCTAGGTGTATTGGCTGTTAGCACTACTTAATTTTCTTTCAAGTAACTGAAGACAAACAGTAATTATGTGTGTAATTCCAAAGCAGTTTTACTCAAAGTTCATAAATGAAATTGTCTTTCAGGCAGAGATGAAGCCTGGGAAATCATCACATCCAAAGGTAAATGTTTTATAATGTGATTAGTGTATGAAAATAGCACTTTTTTAATATTAAAAATGTAGACAAGGACAAAAAATACAACAGAATTTGTGGCAAGTACAAGAGTAATTTCAACTGCCATTGAAAATGAATGAAAAATTGTTCCCAAGGACTTTAAGTATGCACTTGAGTTTTTATGATCTTCAGTTGATAATGACATTAACCATTTAAGAATAGCATTAGGGCACAGCAGAATATTATTATAAACAAGACATTTTAAAGACTTTATTTTTTTCCTCAGAATTTTTATTGTTACGAGTGATTTATATTTTCAGTAGTTAGTTAATTATGGGATTTGTAGCTCATCTGATAGAACATAGAGGTCTGCAGTAACTCCTGGACTGCGGATTCAGCAGTGGAGATGTATAGGTACAGGTGTGTGTGTATCTACATATGTGTATATCCCTGTGGCATAAAATTGAAACTCATTACTTCCAAATTTCATTTCTGTTTTGAGAGGCAATACAGTCTGTGGCTGTGGAAACTGACCTGGCCTTTAATGGCCGTTAAGCCAAAGGCACAGCAGCAGCCTGGCTAAGTCTTACTTTCATTAGGTCCTAACGTTGAGTTGGGCTGCGTTGCTGCTGTTCTGCATTAATGGTTTCCCTGATAGAACTCTGTATTTCAATATTGTCTTCTACTTGTCTCTTAAGTTTACAAGCATCATCAAAAAAAACACTTGTAGGAACCGCCAGCATTCACAAAGGCTAGCCTTTCTAATGCAGCATTATCAGAGGTACAGGAGGAAATGTGAAGCAGATAGATGCTAGAGGAAAGACCTCTGATCGTATTTGTGACTAAGAAAACATCATCTGTGAGGAGAATGCAGAGGAACTGAGTTTATATAGTCTGCAGAAATTGACAGTAGGTTACATATTTGGAGGTTAATCAACATTGAACTGGAAGTAAAAAATTTTAAGTTGCTAAGTCTTCCTTCCTGTTAAGTATTAGGAAATATTTTCTAATAATAAGAGTAGCTAAGAACAGCTTATGTAGGAATTTCCATTAATATAAGAGTTACCTAGGAAAACATCTACCAGATAAAACTATATGGTTCTGCTCTTGGTGACTGTATATTTGTCACAGACATTGACTTTCATGACAAGCTTAAAAAAACAAAAAAACTCTCTTACGCTTGTTTTCATAGCCTCTAACTTAGTGTAAATAATCAGCAGTTATAAAATACGGTTACTGTGTATGCTGTAAAATGGGATGTGATGATTTGTGTCGTGGTTTAAACTCAGCCGACAACTGAGCACCATGCAGCCGCTCGCCCACTCCCCCCCCCCGTCCTGGTGGGATGGGGGAGAGGATTGGAAGAGTAAAAGTGAGAAAACTCGTGGGTTGGGATAAAGACAGTTTAATAATTGAAACAGCAGCCCCCCAGCCAGCTTTCCCCAGTTTATGTACTGAGCATGACGTCACATGGTATGGAATGTCCCTTGGGCCAGTTTGGGTCAGCTGTCCTGGCTGTGCCCCCTCCCAGCTTCTTGTGCCCCTCCAGCCTTCTCAGTGGGTAGAGCATGGGAAGCTGAAAAGTCCTTGACTAGTGTAAGCACTACCTAGCAACAACTAAAACATCGGTGTGTTATCAACATTATTCTCCTACTAAATCCAAAACTCAGCACTGTGCCAGCTACTAGGAAGAAAATTAACTCTATCCCTGCCGAAACCAGGACAACTTGTTACAGGAAGGCCTTGTCATTGGCGAAGTTGTGACAATTACTTGAAATATAGTGCTGCAATATAATGTTCCTTAAAAAAACTAAGGTTTTTTTTTAGTGAAGCAAGAATGATTTCCAAGGGGTTAATGTTTTATCTAGGAGATTTGAAAAGGAAAGCTGTAGAGAAGCTTTATTTCCCTGGCTGAAACAGAACTTCCACTAGCCTGGCACTGGCTAACTTGCTGACTTCCCTTGGTTCCGGTGTCTCTGTCTGTAATAAATGGATGATGTTTCATGCCGTCTCTGTAGAGCTGTGATACTTCTAACAGTAGAACGCAATATAACTGAGATAATCCTGTTAAACAGTCAGCCATTAAAAAAGAAAAATTAACTAGTTATATTTGCAGATGACCAAAATTGA